TGTGTGAATGTTTTTCTTGTTGTTCGATTTTTTATTAGTTGTTTGATGTCTCAAGAACTCAACATATTTTTCTTTAATTTTGTTTGCTATTGTTGCTGTATCGTAGTTTATTGAAACAGTTTCTATACCATTCAGTTAATTTATTGGAGTAGAATGAGTTCAACGTGCACATATAGCGTTTGCATAATATGATTCTTTGTAACGTTATTTCTTATGTAATCATTTAGATAGGTATAGGGCCTGTGCCACAATTCAAGTATTAGGTAGTTTGAGGATGTATTTAAGGTAGTTGATTATATTGAAATCAGGAGTTGGAATTTCCCAAGTTCTCCTCAACCCACTATATTGCTTGCTTTTCTGTTAACTCCCAAATGGCAGAGCTTGCGGAATTTTAGCATGTTTTTTCCGTTTTTGTGTTGTCCCATTTTAAATTTATAGTCATTCTTTTTGGGTGCACTCCAAACGTCAGAGTTGTATAAAAGAATAGGAGAAATGACTCCATGCATCAAATATTTTTGTTGCTGTTTTTGGTGATAACTTATGAATGTCAACTTTTGTGTTAAGCTGTTGTTGTGCAGTTTTAAATTTGCATTTGGGACTGAAGTAGTAGGCCGAGATAAGTGTATTTTTTCGTGATCTCGACCCCATTGTCCCCTATGGCTATGAACAAATTTAGATTTGATAATTTAGGAATATGTTTTTGAAAGATCATAATATTTATTTTCTTCGAATTTACTTCCTTTGTTAACGATTTCCTGCACAACTCATGAAGTTGGTCTAAACAATTTTGGAGATCTGATTTGGATCGTGAGAGAATGATATAAGATCGTCCGCGTATAAAAGACTATTTATAGTAATTCTATTAACTTTTGAAAGGGTCTGATTTTGTTTTTGAAGAGTTTTGGTAGTTCATTAATATAAATGTTGAATAATAAAGGACTTTATAAAATGCACTCCTTTTTGATATTCCCAAAAAGGTGTCCTGTTTTCATTTTGATTTGCGCATTTTGTGTTTGAATATATGTCTTTAACTAAATCGTATAAATCTCCCCCTATTTTATTTTCATGTGGTTTGGAATAAAAGCCTTAATGTCAGACAGATACATATGCTTTTTTTTAATCAACAAAATTGTGTAAATCTTTCCATTCTCACTTTGTTTAACGTATTTGTCATATAAAGTTTTCAGTGTGAGAATGTGATCTGCCGTTCTATTTCCGAGGACACATAAATTGGCCTATTTGAGTTGGATAAATTAAATTTTTTTCTTTGGTAAAATTCATTAGTCTGGGGCCGGTTGTATAAAAACGTAATTAGCTCTAACTGTAGTTAGCGTTAATCACTGTAGTTAAATCCTTAACTGTAATTAGTTAACTACATGACTTAACTGCGTTGCACAAAACGTAGTTAGTCGGATAGTTAACTAATCACGTAGTTAACTGTGCGTGGGGCTTGCGTGGGGCGTTTAAACAGAAAATTACATAAAGTAAGCAGGGAGTAACGACCGCTGACACACATTTTCAACATGATTGTGGACTCGTATTTTGCAAATAGGCGGGAATTTTATTCAAAACACTAGAAAACAGTGAAAAATAAACAAGAAAACAAGGAAAAACCGCCACAAAAATCATAAAAGAAGGCAGTTTTTCCTTGAGATGTCTACGTTAAACCAAGGTATAGCTGTCTGGCAATTATATATTAGTGTTTCTTGGTGTAATGGACCATACTTTTATACAACCGGCTTAACTACGTGATTAAAGTATTTTTTAAGGCTTTTTAACTACTTTTTAACTGCAGTTAGCGCTAACTACGTTTTTATACAACCGGCCCCAGGTACTTAGAATCGAACAAAATAATTTGCCCATTCAGATTGAAACACAGATACCGCGATAAATACTGGAATCTATGGAGTTCCCTGACTTGTGGATCGCAAAGATGAAATAAGCTAATCCCTATTTCCCCCGGCTATTTACACCCGGGAAAAGGATCGCACTAGCGAAGTCTAAAGTTCATCAAATATCGCTGACGCGGTTCATGGGTGTATGGGTGGTCATCTCACTGACCTCAAAATATGGCTGTTTGCCAGGAGTGAAGAACGGGAAAATTTAAAAAAATATATGTAAGAAAGCTTGGAAAATCGTTTCACATAACAAATTGTAAAACTTTTCTTCAATTTTTAAAGGTAAACATTAACTAAGAATTGATTTAGTATGACAAATTTTAAAGTATAGGGCAAATTTGTTTGAATTGTTTATGTATGCATGACTTGGTATTAATATAGATTTTCTTCTTCTCCTGTACATTGTATGCGAAAGTTTCTTAGTTAAATTAACTTTTGTAGAAGTTCATAATAAAAAAGGAAAGCAAATTATTTTCATTAGCGTCCTGTACGAATGAAATTTATTTCATTTCAAAGTGCGAATAATAAGTCGAAGAGATTAATATCGGCAAAAAGTCGTTAAAATTTAATTGACATTTAAAAACGTTTTTAATACGTAGTTTCGTTTCGAATTTTACATTAAAATATTAAAAGCCCATAGAAACCAAAATAATATACCTACTTTGTATATTTTAGAAATTGATAGTTCTGTATTTAAAAGTGTCCAATTTCATCTACTTTTTGCAGGTTTGTACAAATTTTTTTTAAAAAAATTATCGTGTTGCCATGACGAACATGACGTCAACGCGAGCCTGCGTTCAGTGCTGACGTATTTACGAATACTTCATGTTAAAACAATGTTTGGAGAATACAAGCAAGGGGATGTTGCATGCATGTATTTCTAGTATACTGTATTAGTAACCAAGGAAGCGCACGCGCACAATTTCGAACTCCAATGGCGGCATTTCACAGAGTGATCAAACTTTATTTTACACATTTTCGTTGAATTTTCTAAGAATTGTGTCGGTTTCCTATCGATTTTACGTTGTGTTGTACTCCAGACTTTCTTGCGTGTTGAATTAATGTGTTTTTCTTTGTGTATAACGACTCGAAAACCACAAAATTTGGATCCAGCGAATTTATACAATATATAGAAGGATATTTAAACAAGGACAGTTTAAAGGTTTGACAGTTTGACTTTTTAATAAACAACTATAAATATACGTCGTGGACTCATAACATCCGTTATGTACTTGTGTTAATTCTTGCGTCGCACTCTGGACTTTCTTGCCTGTTGAATTAATGTTTTTCTTTTTGTATTAAATTAAACGACAACTGGACAGCAAAGTCATACATATAAACAGTTTACTGTTCCCAGTTATAAACTTACCCTGTACTTCAGGATTTCTCACACTTTCTTTAAAATTTGAAAAAGGTGATTTACTACTTAATTATTGTGTAAAAAGATGTCCAAGCTTTCTGTCATGCATGTTTTTTTAATCTTTGCTTCCTTCATTCCTGGCAAACAGCTATATTTTTGAGATCAGTGAAATGACCACCCATACATAGCCATGCGCCCACGATCATTAATGAACTTTAGACGTCGCTAATGCTTTCCTTTCCCCTGGAGTAAATAGCCGACCGGAATTAGTACCCTCGCCACGGGCTTCGCCTTACGCGCTAGGCGCGTGGCTTGGGGATGAACTGATTTGCATTACTAACAATGAGTGTCTCATATTACATCACAAAGCTTTCCGCGCGGATTATATTTCGCGCAGTACTAAAATTCGCGCACCCAGCGCTGCACGAATTCTAGTACTGCGCGAATTTTAATACAAGTAAGGTATTTTATTTATTTGTCATGAATACTATCAAGTTACACAATAAGGGAATATCAAATTTCATTATGCGCAGAATGTCGATGAGCAAAGCTAGATCGGATTCCAATGGACAAATTATGCTATATACGGCTCGTCGAACCAATTACACGTCGCAAACATTACAAGAAAATATACTTCTAGATCGACCGATGTGGCTGTTATTTAGCTGTTGAAGTCAATCCTAAAGGATTTATTTAATACTAAGATGTGAAATTGTAACGAAATAGAGAGATTTTTTAATTTCTGAAATATCGCAAACTACAAACGGAACAAACCCTGCTTGTAAACAATGCCACTCGGACTGTTTTCAAAATTCCAACATTGCCATTGACTTGGCTGAAACTTGATGTTCAAGAAATATGTCGGGTGTACCCATCTGTTATCAATCCTACGATAAAATAATCCGAAAATAGCCTATACACAAAGATATAAAGTCAAAGACTTTTCTGTGCATGTATGTTACAAATATAATACTATGTGACTGCATATTTGTAACTTATGTTTGACATTAGAGAATACAGACCACGTAATAAATTAATAGCTTTAATTGTGACATTGGCTTTCTGTAATTTGTTGATCGATGTTCTTACAGTAATACGCGAGAAATTTTTACTGTCTTTGTGAAATATAATACTGACTTATTATGCATGCTCGTGTGGAACACTGTATGCATGTTAGTCTGTTTAGAGTCAATATAATATATAATAGTGTTAATATACATATTTAGAGTTGTTCAATAGAGACGCTATATTCGACATTTCATGAAGTGTTACAAAATATCTGTTTGTCTGTAATGTTTTCGTGTGTTTTTCTGTAAAAGTAAATAAAAGTTTTGTCTGTTTTTATGTGTAAAATATCGTCGAAATCGAAGGAAGAAATGATCCTTTCGAGTCGGATCATAATCGAAATGTTTTAGTGGAGAACCAGCGAATAATCGGGTAGATTTCGCATCGAAATATCGAGTTTTATACGGATTTTAGACGAAGATATATAGCGACAAGGTCACGGGATTTGGATCGAACACTTAATACTTATGGCTTGAAATAATCACAGTTCTCGACAAAATGGCAACATCGACGATTTCAGAATTGAAGAAAGCTAAAAGGGTAGCGAAAGCGACTATGACAAAGGTAATTAACAGAGCTGGCTACGGTAATATCCGAGGCGGAAACCGATAAAGTGAAAGTTAAACTTCATTTGGAGCGAGTCGAACAGTTAAGGCAAGAAATACTTTCCATTTTAGAGAAATTAGAGACTCGTTGTGACAAGAACAAGGATTCAAAAATGGCGAAACAATACGGCGACGAGTACGAAAAATTTAACGACAAAATCGATCGGGAAACGAGTAATGTTAGAACATATTTGAACAAGATCGCATTGACACAAGTAAAGGAAGTGGCGACACCGGAAGTAAATGAGGGTAGTAGTGGGTTGAACGAGGGGTCTAGTGCGAAGGGTGAACATCGACAGTTAGAACTAATTCGAATTCCTGTATTTAATGGCGACAAGTTAAAGTTTCAACAGTGGTTTGCAGCATTTACGAGTTGTATTGATAAAACTTCAATGATCCACAATTTAAAATGCTACGACTGGAAAGTTGTTTGGAGGGAGAGGCAGCAGTGAAAGTTTTGGGATACTCGGAAGTTGCATGCGAAGCTGCGAAAAATCGATTGATAAGAAAATATGGCGGGGTTAGGCGAAATGTCCAAGCAAAAGAGCTCGAAAGGTTTGCGGATATTTTGGAGCGTACTGTTGTCACATTGAAAGAGAACAAGCGTGAGTCAGATTTAAAGGCAGGTACTTTGTATGGTATCGTATTGGAGAAGGTCCCGGAGATGCTTCTCAGTCAGTATTATCGATGGCTCAAAGAACAGAAGAAGGAAGAATCTTTGGAAACTTTGAACTGTTGGATTGCGGAGAAAACTGAATACCAAACGCATGCAGCCAAGAGGAAGCGGGGATTCAGCCGTGGAAGAGAGGACAGAAAAGGTGATGAGAAATCAGGACGAAGGATCACAGGAGTCGATTCGAAAAATCGTTTGGTGCAAGTAAAATGGAGAATCATGGCAAGAAGGAAAAGCCTTGTGTAGCTTGTGGAGAAACACATCCTATTAATTTGGCGATGTCTAATATTTAAAGCGTGGTCTAGTGACAAGAAGTGGGAAATGGCTAAACGTGCTGGATTGTGCTAACAATGCCTTGGAGATAATCACCTTGGAAAAGACTGTAAGCGAAGTCGAGTTTGCCCAGTCACAGGGTGCAACAAGAATCACCACCAATTGTTACATGAAGTACCAAACCAAAAACCACCAATCCAAGACCCACCACCCGCCACGAAGGGGGATGCCGGTGACAAAACCACTATGGAAACAGTCGAAAAACATGAAGTCAGTAGCTCTTCGGACAGTACCAATAATTCTGAAAAATGATAAGAAACGACTACTAGTGAACTGCTTTCTGGATGAGGGAAGCGAAACCACATATGTAAACGAGGATGTTATCGAGCAGCTTGGACTTCGAGAAGAGAAAGAACGAGTGACAGTACAAGTAGCTAATCCTCAGCAAGTTACCTTTATGTCTGCAACATTTGAGATCGGAATCGAAAGTGTAGATGGAAAAGTGAACAGTGTCATTGTTCCTAAGACATCTCAAAAGATCTGTGGAAGAATGAAGCCTACCAATTGGGTGAAGATAAAAGATAGATAGGATCACATGAAAGAAATCCCATTTCCCAAACTTGCTCAAACCCATACGATTGATGTACTGCTCGGATCAAATTACTACCATCTGATGTTTCCAATGAAAGAGATTCCAGGAAAAGAGAATGAGCCAAGTGTCCTATTTTGTCCCCTTGGTTGGACAGCCATTGGAAGAATTGACAAAGCTGCCCGGTCGGAACCATCTAACACGAAGTTCTTACGAACTTTCCATGCACAGAGTGAAGAAACCCACCATTCGGTAGTTGGGCAAGGTCAGACGGATGAATTGAACTCTTCTGTTAAACGATTTTGGGACCTTGAATCAATCGGCATAACAACATCAAACATTACTGAAATGACACCAATCGAGAAATTGGCATGGAAGAAAGCTCAGAGCTCACTGCGATTCAACGGAGAACGTTATGAGATTGCGGTGTCATGGAAAGACGACCGCCCCAGTTGCCAACTAAAAGCGACTCAAGTCAGTTGAGCAGAAGTTGTTACGAGATAACGAATTGGCCAGGGCATACCAAGGTGTAATCGAAGATTACCTCGAGAAAGGATATATCTGTAAAGTTGTACAAGACGAGTCAGTACCGGACTCTGAATGGGTTTTACCTCACTTTCCCGTGGTAAGACCAGAAAAAACAACTACCAAAGTTCGTGTCGTTTTTGACGGTTCGGCTACCTGTGAAGGAAAAAGTTTAAACACCGAATCATTGCCCGGCCCGAAGTTGCAGAGCAATGTTGTTGACATTCTAGTTGGCTTTCGGTAGGAATTGGTTGTATTAGTTGGCGACATTAGCCAAATGTACCACCAACTTGTGTTATTACCAGAGGATAGACCGCTGCATCGATTTCTGTGGCGAGATTTAGATCAGTCGAAGGAACCGGAAGTGTACGAGGTTGTACGGTTCATATTTGGAGGTTGCTATTATCCGTTTTGTGCTCAGTATGCTTGGCAAATGCATGCAGAGACTCACAAAGATGAATTTCCATTGGAAACGGAAGATTCGTTCTTCTTGCGATGCTCATCGCCTCCCGAGAATTTCGAGTACACTAAGCGTAATGTATTGAAATAAACAGCGATGATATACGACCCTCTTGGCTTGTTATCGCTATAAATTATTCGAGCTAAAATGTTAGTTCAGCAAGCATGGTTAGAAGCGATCGAATGGGATGATCCATTACCGAGACATCTCATAACACAATGGAGACGGTGGTTTAATGAAGCTCGTGGAATTGAGCAGATTAAGATTCCTAGATGTTTGAAATTACCTGAACAGGTCGTAACAGCATTAACTTTGCATGCATTCACAGATGCATCAGAGAAGGCGTACGCAGCTGCGGTTTACAACCGGCACGAATCTCCTGATGGAAGAGTGACAGTAAGGCTTGTTGCATCGAAAACACGATTGGCGCCTCTCAAGGCAATCAGCATTCCGCGATTGGAACTTATGGGAGCTATTATCGGATTAAGATTGTCAAAACAAATATGCTTAGTCATGAATGTATTGCCGAGCACAGTTACATTCTGGGTCGATAGTCTGAACGTCATCTGTTGGATTCAAGGACAGAGTCGGGACTATAAACCTTTTGTAACGAATCGAGTGGGCGAAATACACGAATATTCTAGCCCAGATTAATGGAGATATGTATCGACGAAAGAAAACCCTGCAGATTGCGATACGCGAAGAACATCTGGTTCGGAGTTAGCTAGCAACGAACTGTGGTGGCATGGCCCGCAATTCCTATGCGATACGGAAGATAAATGGCCGGAACGAAGATCTTCAAATACCCCAGATTCAAGTCAAGGGTTAAAAACGCAAGTACGAGGAAACAGACTTGAACAATGTATTTCTCGATCGGGAGAGTCGCTAGACGAATTCCAAACCAGAACTCTTATGGCTAACGAGGTGGACATGGTGTGGAGACTCGAGCCAACAAGATACTCCAAATGGTATAGAATAGATCAACCAGGGAAGTGTGAAATAGGACTGTCGATCGTGTGAGTGCGAAGTTGGGTTAATCGGCTTATTCGGAATTGTAAAAAACGCGCGAGAACAGAGAAACCGGGGAATTGACACCAATGGAGCTGATCATTAGCGAGGAACAAATAATCAAAGAGACACAAGAGAAAGCCTTTGCAAAAGAGATTGCTGCGTTGAAGAAAGGTAAACTGGTACCAAGGAGCAGCTCTTTATTAAAGTTAAATCCAATGCTCGAGAATGGAATGTTACGGTCTCGTAGCACACCTCATACTCGTATGGTAAAACCGGTGATGTCATAAACGACCAAACAAATTAGTTGCCTCGGGAGGAAGGCAATATTACTAGTAAAGTTGATAAAAAATCGAAAAACGGGGATAAAGGTTTCAAAATAGGTCATCTTAATATCAGAAGCTTAATAAAAAATATAGATCAATTGAAAATCTACCTTTCCAATCACCAATACGACATTATATGCATTAATGAAACCTGGTTAGATGACAAAATTAATACTTATGAAGTTAGTTTAGATGGATATGACCTAATGCGTAAAGATAGGAAACGTACAGGAGGTGGAGTAGCTATGTATATTAGAAATTCAATAAGCTATAAAATTAGAGAAGACATAATGCCAGAAGGATTGGAAACAATCACGGTGGAAATAAAAAAACCTAGAAGCCTCCAGATATGCCTATAGAAGCATTTAATGAATACGAACAATGTATACAAAAAATGGATAGTGAAAATAAGGAAATTATATGCATCGGCGATTTCAATGGTGATTGGCTCCAACCTGATAAAATCGAGACTCGAAGGTTATCACATTTGGCTAGAATGTATCAACTTGACCAAATGATTGATGAACCGACTCGAGTCACCGAAAGATCTCGAACACAAATCGATTTGGTTTTTAGTAATCGTCCAGAGATAATAATTTAGTCCGGTGTACATCACATCGGTATCAGCGATCATAGCTTAATCTATATACACAGGAAAATATCTATACCACGTAAGCAACCAAAGATTATCAATACGCGACAGTTTAAGCGTTATAACATAGAAGCTTTTAATCTAGATTTGTATAATATCCTTTATTCACAGCCGCACGAATCCGATCCGAATATCCTTTGGGATGACTGGAAGGAAAAATTTTTGTTAGTAGCGGATATGCATGCACCACCGGTCATCAGGAGAGTTCGAAGCGAACATGTGCCATGGTTAACTTCGGAAATCAAAACAAAAATGTATCATAGGGATTTTCTTAAGAAAAAAGCAATCAAAACAGGTTCAACCCACTTTCATAATGCATACAAAAAGGCTAGAAATAATTTGAGCAAGTTAGTAAAAGATACAAAAGCGAATTATTACAATAATGCGATAAATCAATGCAATAAGGATCCAAAATCTATGTAGAAAACTATCAATCAATTAACAAACAAGAAATCGAAAACAACTAACATTAATGAACTGATAATTGATCAGAAAGTTACAACAAATCCAGATACAGAGTTACAACAAATCTATGAATAAATATTTCAATGATATTGGAACCGTTTTGGCTGATAATCTCTCAAATGGGCATAATAGTTTTGAGGCGTATGTCAACCCTACTGAAACTACCTTTGAAATTCAAAACATTTCTGTAGTGGAGGTAAAAAGTGAAATTTCAAGAATCAAAACTTCCAAAGCTACTGGACATGATCGTATATCACCAAAACTTGTGAAAGATTGTGTGGAAGTAGTTGCCGAATCCCTCACAAATATTTTCAATAAATCCATTGAAAAAGGCGTATTTCCTGATGACCTTAAAATTGCATGCTTATCTCCTATACATAAAGGGGATAGCAAACTAGATTGTTGTAACTACAGACCAATATCTATTATATCTGTAGTAGCTAAAGTGTTTGAAAAGCTTATCTCCAGGCAACTCAATGGGTATTTGGAGTCTAACCACTTGCTGTCGGACAGTCAAACTGGCTTTTGGAAAAAGAGTTCGACTACAACTTCCCTTTTGAATAATACGAACAAATGGTACATCAATATGGATAATGGTCTTTTAAACGGAATTATTTTTCTCGATCTAAAAAAAGCTTTCGACTGTGTCGACCATGATATTTTGATAAAAAAAATTGTCTTACTTTGGCTGTAAAGGAACCACTTTAAATTGGTTTAAATCATATTTAACGAATAGAAAACAAATGTGTAAAGTAAATCAAGTGACATCCCAACCTCGAATAATTCGTTGTGGTGTACCACAAGGTTCAAATTTAGGCCCAATATTGTTTCTTATTTATATAAACGACTTGCCTAATTGTTTAAGAACGACTACAGCCGGTTTGTTTCCAGACGATACTAATCTGACAGCAAGCGGGTGCTCGATTATAGACATCCAAACAAAATTAAACAATGATTTGGAAAATATACATCACTGGTTATTGGCCAATAAATTTACTCTCAATAAGGACAAAACTGAATATATGATAGCCGGATCTAGGCAACGGATTAGCAAAATTGAAGGTGATCCAGAAGTTAAATTAGGAAATTGTAATATAAAAAGAGTGAAAGAAATAAAAACTTTAGGTGTCATTATTGATGATCAGCTAAAATGGAATGCACATATAGATAATGTCGTTATCAAGGTATCAAAGGCCATAGGCATGATTCGACGAATGAAAAATTTTGTACCCCAGTCAACATTAATTTCAGTTTATAGTGCAATAGTACAACCTCACTTTGACTACTGTAGCCTTGTTTGGGACATTGGTAATGTTCACTCGCTTGAAAAGCTGCAGAAAATGCAAAACAGGGCTGCAAGAGTCATTACTGGTAGGTCGTACGAAGTTAGGTCCGAGACTATTTTACCGGACTTAGGCTGGCAGCCACTGATAGAAAATTGGAGAGAGAATAAGGCAGTTTTTATGTACAAAGTCAAAAATGGCAAATACCTGACAACAATTACTGATATCTTTAATGTGAAAAATAATGAAAATTATAATTTACGCAATAACGATTGTGACTTTTCGATAAAAAAGCCTAAAACTAATTTTCTTAAAAAAAGTATCGGCTACTCAGGAGTAAAGATTTGGAATGAACTGCCAACAGAACTTAAAGATAATGGTATAACATTAACAAGATTTAAAGCGCTGCTCCGAGACAGACAAACGTAGATTGATAAAGTTTTTAATGTTTTAGTATAAGGGTGGGTGGGAGGACTGAGTGAAGAAAGGGGGGGGGGATTATTCGTGTGTTATATTTACATATATATATATATATATATATATATATATATATATATATATATTCGTATATTTTCATTATTTTCTTCCCTTATTATTAATCAACGACCCCTTGAAAATCAGCTACAAGGAACTGTAGATAAACTTGCTGAAGGGCTACCGTTGTATATGTGTGTAAATAAGATTAAATAATAATAATAATAATAATAATACGGTCGAATACGAGATTACGAAATGCGAAGGAACTTTCGAACGAAGTGAATTTTCCAATAATATTGCCAAAGAAACACCTTGTAACGCATTTTGTATTGTCAAGTATCACCATGAGACTGAGCATCATGAAATGGGTGTGAACTTTACGATCAACCATCTAAGAGAGAAGTACTTAGTCGTGCATGAACGTCAAGAGGTCGAACGTTGTGTGAGTAGTTTTGCTGAGTGTTCTCGACGTTATAGATTACGGCCTCAGACACAGCAAATGGCGCCATTGCCGGACATTCGTCTGGAAATGACTGGCAGGCCGTTCGAAAACTGTGCAACCGATTATGGAGACCTTATTTTACAAAACAAGGACGGGGAAAGGTTAGACCTAAACGATATCTGTGTCTTTTTGTATGTCTTCAGACTCACTGCTGTCATCTAGAAATGGCTCCGTCACTTGACGTCAGTGGATTTATAAATGCATTTGTAAGGATGACCGCCAGACGTGGATGGCCAAAGAAGATGTTAGGTGACAACGGGACGAATTTTGTTGTCGCAGAAAAAGGAATACGTATATTAGTTGAAGAACTAGACAAGAAGCAAATAGAGAGAGCAACTGCGAATAAAGGCACTACATGGTATTGGAATCCGCCCGCAGCACCACACTTCGGCGGGGTGTTTGAGAGTAGGATAAAGTCAGCCAAACGAGCAATTGCTGCAGTTTTGCCAAACGCGGCCGTCAATGATGAGGAATTACAAACAGTTTTCACTGGAGTTGAAAGTCTACTAAATTCTCGACCATTGACAACGATAAGTGATGATCCTAATGACGAACTTGTACTTACGCCAAATCACTTTCTCATGAGACAAATGGGAGGAGATATTGTTCCCGAGAAGGTAGATACGACAGTATTCAATGCCAAGAAGCGGTGGAGACGGGTCGAAGAGTTAGTGCGTCACGTATGGAGACGATGGATGAAAGAATATCTTCTACACATTGGATCTCGAAAGAAATGGTTTTTACCAACAAAGAATTTGAACGTAGGAAATGTTGTCGTGGTAATTGATGCAGACGCGCCGAGACGAGAGTGGAAAGTTGGGCGAATAGAACAGGTTTATCCCGGAAATGATGGACTGGTTCGGGTTATTGAAGTGAAAGTGTTGAGGCGACCGATAACACGGGTATCTCCGTTAGAAATGTAAACAGACAAGAAACCTATAAACTGACTGTTCATAATGCGTTGTGTTAGTTACTGAGATTACGAATTTCGAACTGCATTTCTCTCAATTCGGGAGGGAGAAATGTTCAATAGAGATGCTGTATTTGACATTACATGAAGTGATGCTTGTGATGTTACTCTGACTGTATATCCACACCGGAAAAGCTTGAAAAATATGCCTGACCACGGTGGGAATCGAACCTACGACCTTTGGAATACTAGCCCAATGCTCTGCCAACTGAGCTACGCGGTCTGGTCGGTTCGAGTATGTGATATTTCGGAACAGAATCTAGTTCCTTCGATATCAATGTCATCTAATAATAATCATGATTTTTTCTGTGTTGGTGTAATAAATAAATATCTGTTTGTCTGTAATGTTTTCGTGTGTTTTTCTGTAAAAGTAAATAAAAGTTTTGTCTGTTTTTATGTGTAAAATATCGTCGAAATCGAAGGAACAAGGGTCTAACTATGTTGCACTAGAGATTAACGGTTTGTTCTCGAAGAAAACGCGTTAAATAATGTCAAGTGACTCAGGTAATCAAATTCTAAGACTAAGTAAAAGTGTTATATCTGTGGTGGGTACGACTGCATGTGCATTTCAGTGTCTTAATTTGCTGTGGTTTATAGAATAATATATGCCTATGTTCGTGTTATAAAATGTATACTGTAATACTGTATATGAGATAAAATTTTTTTTAAATATTTCTGTTACTCCATTGCTTAATTCATGAGGTACGCATTTCCCTGAGACTGAGAATTTTTGTACATTCTTCTGAAATTTAGATACATTTAAGTTGATATGTAGAACCATTGAATTAAAAGTATTTTCAAAGATAAATCATCAACAGTTTTAAAGTTTACATTTAGTCTTTGTTTGGCTGTATCCACATGTTTACATTGTGATTTCTGGGAAAATTATAGTTACTTTTCAAAATTTTATCAACTTTCAATAAACAAGATGCGTACAATTAGTAAATTGGCACAAGGTTTATCAACGTTTTTTGCAAACAACAAATTTAATGGCATATTCTAGAAAGTAGAAACAGATAATATTGAAAATATACAAACGTTGGCGACTGACTGTTTCACATGAAAATATGTGACAGAATACTCAAATTCAAACTTTAAAGTATACGATTTTATTTGTTTCAATGTTTTTGTAATTTAAGAGCAAACAGAAGTATAAAATAGAGGTTTAGCGGGCGCGTCGAACTACTTATCGTAAAATCCCATTCCCGGCATTTGAAATTTAAAGTTTTCTGTAATTAATTTTGTTTTCTGGAAGCATGTAATTTGATACTTTGCCACTCCCCCTTGGGCAATTAATTTTTGTAGAGTCACGTGACCAGACAATAGCAGGGTCTTTTACAATACCCCCATGCATACACCTCAGTATTGCTGCATTGAGTAATGCAGTTCTATTAATTACTATTGTAGAAAAAATATATTTTAAAAGACTATTTTTGATCAAACTAATTTTACTTATTTATAAGTTATATCTATTTTAGAATAATTATTCATTTAATTAAATCACAATTGTTGTAAAGATAAAATAGTCTAGGCAAACTATGTAATAAAACTTGATGTAAAGCACATTTGATCATATCAACATGTAAATTTGCGCTATATATAGAAATGCCAATTACTGTAATCGTAATTAATCTACTAATCGTATTCAATTCATGTGAATATTCGTAGACAATAATTAATGCCCTTATAGTTATTGCTTTCCAGGTGGTTTCTTTCAAGGATGAGGTCTTCTTTCCAGTTTATGTTCAAAACTTTCCCGACATATCGGACAACGCGTTCTACAATGTTAAAATAAATAATACTTTAGAATTGAAATACTTGCATGAATATATGCATGTCATGTTTTATATGCACGCAATAAACTCCAATAATGATTATTATGATAAATTCAAAAGATTCATGGCTTATATCAACTCCATAGAGTGACGTCATAACCTTGAATATGACAACATCATATTCAACGTTGTTATGTCATGCTGTGGAAATACGAAATGCGGGAACCGTGAAGATTTAGAGGAAACAGATATAAAGACAAAATTTCAACAAAAACAGCCACAAACATCTTAACGTTATTATGGACAAAAAAAGGAAACAATTTCTGCAAATGGGAATTAATACGAACTGGTCATTAATTCGACGAATTAAACTTACAGGAGAGGATGCCTTTTTCATCTTTTAAATAAATAATAAAACAAGCAGTGAATTCGTTTTTCGCAAGATATGAAGAATTATTTGTCAACCGCTCAGTTTGTGTTATCAACCTCAGCCTTTTTGTTGATAACACAAACTTAATTCGGGCTTGATTATTCTTCGTATCATACTCAACGTCATTCAAAGATTGTTAAAAATACATCCATTACACTCACATGCCACTTCTAATCATTTGCGTTGCGCACTCCTTGTGTACCTTGTGAGAACAAGGTAAGATCTGACATCCTGTGAATGCATCCTGGAGAAGAAATAGAAATGTAAGAGTTACTCCACACCTTTGGAGGTGTATCATTGACCGTGACATACAAAATAAAGCTCTGGTTGGATTTTATGACAATCACAATCTGAAAGAGAAAAAATGGTTTCCCGACATTTCGGGGAAATGGCCTGTACGCCAAGTTAGATCAAATTGCAAGAACTGCACGAGGGTGATTTGGAAGTTGAAAGAAAAATTCGGACAAATTTCAGACAATTTTAAAAAATATAATGAGAACAATACTCAGAATAATAAACCTTGTAAACTCATTATATGAGTCAATTAAACAAAACAAGACACAAATATGGTGTGGCAATATTTTGACTCTATTTCAGGGTCGTTGTCAAACCATGCAATGAGTTTGAAACCCAACCGGGGTCAATGTCAAACTCATTGGTTTGACAATAGTCAATGAGTTCGGTTTGACAATGACCCTGAAATAGAGTTGAAATATCATCACCATAATTGGTCTTGCTTTCTTTAAATAACTCATATAATATTATATATGTTTACAAGATAGCATAATATTTTATATTAGTTGACGCGCACCGAAGGATTTAGCATGGCTTATATTCAGTTATGTAGATATATTTACGCAAAAGTCCAAGTTGTGATTGGTTGGATCAGTGAATATACGCTAACAACGACTTAAAGCAACTTAAATGACTGAAAGTGACCTATCTGAAACTTAAAATAATAGGCAGACTATTTGCACACATATAATTATAGTGCAGATCAGTCTTTCTTTATGATACGATGACAGGTTGTTTGTAAATTGACACTCGATAAGGATTTGACCTGCAACCAATGAGTTATTTTGACCGATCGATTTTGTCAACCATTCGATATCAACCACGCATGCAGTTCCATGCATGTTAGAGTAAACTGCCTTGTGACAACAGTGCGTGCTTGATCTGTAAGACAACTTGTTATGATTAACTGTAATAATATAACTAACTCCCTTGCCTGCCATGGTTTAGTTGTTCGGTTAAGTTGTTGGGAAACCGCTACAATCTAGGCCAATCTAGTCTAGAACTCATCGAAAGTTCACGCCAAACAGCATTAGACTTGGTTTATTGAGGTTGTAATAATTGTAAGCAAATATACTAAACACATATACAGTACAGGGTGTATAAAAAAAGGAGACCTTTAGAAATCAAGCATATTGTTAAAATTTGAATGACTTTTCAATCGCACATATGCTGAAACGTAGTGCGTGAAATATTGATGAGTGCATATAGGACCTATTAGAAAAAGGAGACCTTTAGAAATTGAAATAACGTTTAAACAAAAGATTGTCTGCTTCTGGGAACAATCTGCTATGCATACTGCACGTAGATTGCATGTTACGCAATCGTGGGCTTAGCAAAGTTCTCCAAGATTCAAATTATAACAATGGTTGATTTCTAAAGGTCTCCTTTTTTTTAAAATATGCACTAAAGAAAAGGAGATCTTTAGAAATCAAGCATATTGTTAAAATTTGAATGCATTTTCAATTGCACATATGCTGAACCGGGGTGCGTGAAATATTGATATATTTCACGCACCACGGTTCAGCATATGTGCAATTTGCGACCTTAGCCCTGGAAACACGTGCAGTTTTCACGGCTGTTACGTGGTACGAAATGTAAACATTGCAGACATGTATTTCAAAATAATATGGTGGCGAACAAGAATTGTGCTTGGGCACTTGCAAAAATGACTCCAGATATTCACAATTTTGGACTAAAAATGGAAAAAATGATCCCATTTTTTTCTTACGCTTTCCTGCACCCAAGAGATCACCTATAAGAAGCGACAGCGGTGGATTAAATCATGTCATCGAGGCGACGGTTTTGAATGCAAGAAAGATCATTACATTTGTAGTTTCCACTTTGTTGGTGAAAATGGGCCAACCAAGGAATACCCAGACCCACTATCTGCGATAACAAGTGAGGAAAATGTACGTTGGTTTGCAGTTCAAATTTATTATTAACCGTATTCGTTCTGTGGTTTCAAGCACATTTAAAAATTTAAAAAAAAACACAATTTTTAAATATTCAAAGGTTAAACGTCTGCAGCGTAAAAGGAAACCACCGAAAATGCGTGTAAGAAATCAAGATACAAAGTCAAAGAGGCGATGTATAACGAAAACTGACGCGGCGTATTCACTGCTAGAACTTCACTCATCTGTTGAAAATATACTTGGAAAGTTCTTGCCATGGAAGTGAAAACAACACCTCGCAGAGCAGCACAGATATTAACAATGCCATTTTCAATGAGAATGAATATGCACAAGTTGAAACAACAGCCGACGTTTTAACGGTTGAAAACACGGAAAATAAGTACAAAGAAGTTGAAACACAGATAAATAATCTCATTTTATGTAATATATGAACAACGAGAGCGAGTGTTTCACCGGGATATCCAAACACGAGAAAACAATGTAAGAAAACACGAGCGCGAAGCGCGAGTGTTTTCATACATTGTTTTCGAGTGTTTGGATATCCCGGTGAGACACGAGCTCGAGTTGTTTATATGACTTCTCAAATGAATTGAGACGTAACGGAATGTTTTCGTTCGCTGATTTGAATAGAATTCTTAACCAAGCATAACGTAATTAGGAATTCTATTCAAGTAATTTTGCATGTGTAATTAAGATATATGATAAAAACACTAGTGACTTTCATCAAGTTTCACCGGGTTATCCAAATGGCATCTTGTGATCAAATAGGTGATTATCATTGGCTGAATTGCTCATGAATTATTAATGAATTTGAGAAGTGTAGTATAAACAATCATCAAATTAAAAATTTTAATGTTTGGCATTGGTCTGTTTTTATAGACAAACGTGTGTTCTAAAGATCTCACAGAATACAGTGATTTCATGCTTCAAAATAGACAAGCACTGCAACGATATCTGTTCATCGCAACAGTTAAAAACCCAACACAAACTATTCACTACCCAGGTTTGTTTTTGTATTTTTTGCGTTATAATTTTGATCAGTTTTTTTGTTTATTTATACTGTATTTAAAATTATTGTCAAAGGAATGGAGTGTACCTTGGGGGAGGGGTACTAGAGAGAGAGGGGTACTTGAGAGAGGAGGTACAAGAGAGAGAGGGTACTAGAGAGAGAGGGTACTAGAGAGAGAGGGGGTACTAGAGAGAGGAGGGAAGGCTTAATTTATTCATAAAATTATATGATTTTGAAGAGATCGGATTAATTCAATTTTATTTTTGTTTGAAAGGTTTGACGAAAGAATGCCTTGATGTGTTGTTTCAATTTTTAAAAACCAAGGCTAAATATCTAAGAATGTGGAATGGTTTAGCTAGAGTGAAAAAAAGGAGACAGCTGGACAAAAAAATGTCAAGACAGTCTTTAAAGGTAGGCTATATGTATCAATCTATTTATCATTTAAAAAATATATGTCCTCAATGGATTTTATGAAAATAAATCACATCAATATTTTGTTGATAACATCAATTTGTTGATTTAACATATTGCATTTCAAAATAGCAAAAGATCACTAAATCTAAACTAACAATAAGGGAGCAGTTCATATTAACATTGGTGCGGCTACGACGATTTCCTTCTTTGGCAATGTTGTCTGCATTATTCGACATATCAACAGCACTTGTAAGCAGAATTTCTATAACATGGGTTCTATTTATGGAAAAGAAGTTTCATTTTTTACTTAATTTTACAATCCTTAAAGAAATGGAAGGATTGAAACGCCCAAAAGTATAAAGAGATATTAAATATGAGAAGCTTAGAGCAATCATAGACTGTACTGACTTCAACATCGAGAAGCCATCATTACCATCCAGTCAGCGACGTACGTACAGTAATTACAAATCCCACAACACCTTCAAATTATTGGTTTCGCTTTCACCGATTTGCCACTTCAATTTTTTGTCAAAATTGTACACTGGCTGTATAAGTGACAAAGACTTAGTTAATCTTAGTTAATCTGCAGCCAAGTCTAATTAGGTTTGAGAGCGACCGCGATTTCTGAAGTTACGAATCTGAAACAATACACCCCAGTGTCTCTTTGCTTCCAGTCTTCCCATTTTAACTTCATCTGCTGTGAACCATTTGTGTTTTTGTTGTATATATTCTTCATGGTCTACTTCATATTGTGACAAATCCTTAAAACAAAGTAGTTTGTTTTATTATATTGACACTCTATTGCTTTGTGTGCCTTGGGATGGGAGCCACTTGATATTACGAGGGAAAATGATGTACAAAACTCTAAATAAAACAGGTCCTGAATCTCTCACAAACCTCTTTCGTTACAAAAATGAGATAACAGATTATAAACTTCGAAATATTTCATCTGGTATTTGTCTACCACAACCACGCACAAATACCATGAAAAATATTTTCATGTATATGATGATGCTAAACTATGGAACTCTATTCCAAATGAAGACAGGGAAAGCCAATCCCTGTCAAATTTTCAAACGAAAATTACTGCTCATATTTTCTAAGACTACTTTTCTTACTACTTGTAAATAATTATTCTACCATTCCTACTATCTAGTTAATTTGTACTTCTTGTTACTACACCTCATATTTGTAAATGACAATATTTATGTAATATTTCGCTCATACTACTGTAATTTTTCTTATGCATGACACCCCCCCAATATATGGAAATCAGCTTCGATTGATAGGTTTAGCGTGGGTGAATAAAGTTTTTCTATCTTCTATCTAATATTTTATTTTACCTGATCACAAGATTGAATTCATATTTCCGAATAGAAATATCATGGGTTAAAGAATAAAGTATTAACAGGTGCCTTAAACAAATATAAAATGAATTCTGAGTTGTACAATATATTATCTGAAATATAGTTTGTTTTATTATAAACTTAGGATATTATTTGCTCCATTTCATTATACAGTACATACCAAGGAGTCATTATTATGAGAAGCCAGTATTTACCAGTTTAAAAAGAAGAATAGAACTTTTTCAAACAATTGAGTATCATGTGCACTGCACAAACTATTAACACTTGGGCTAATTACGTGTACAGTACAGCGAGTGCAGGTAATCTACTTTAAGTTTTAATGGGTAAAATTGTGTGGCATTTTGGAAGCACTTTAAGAAACAAAATATTGAATTGTCACCTTCTCACAATAGGTATGATGACAAAATCCTTTTCATAGTGGGTGGGCCTAAATATTTTTCCACAGCTTCAAACCTTTCAATCCTGCAGAAGTTAAATGTGTTTTAACATTTAAAAATGTCAACTTGTATATAATATAAGTATATAGTCACTATCTCTTCAATGCAAATATTTAATTAAACCCATTAAGTGCCAGTGCTTTCCCTTTGAAAAGTAAAATAGCCTGGTGTTAGAAAGAGGAAATAACAATGTAGGGCGCAATGCTACTCAATGAGTTAAAATTATATAGCCATTGTATAGTACCTTGAAGAACTAAGCATCCCGTCTTGTTCACCACACACAATTGAGTAAAACAAGCTATCAATGATTGGAAATGGGCATAGTTGCTCTCTGAAAGTAAACTGTATATTTACTGTATAATTAGTACTGTCGGTTTTCAAAAATTGTTTTACATTGTACATGCATATCAATCCCATACAAAGTATTAAATGTTCATGCAATCATCTGATCAGCAATGGCTGATCATCCTTATCAACACTTTTTTCATGAGTTTTAGCTAAAACAAAAAAAATTCAAATCAAAGTTAACCCAATGAGTGGCAGCACTCCCTCCCTGATGAGTAAAATTATTGTGTTAAGTTAGACAGAGTAAAATAATAAAGTAGGGCATGTGAGAGCAAAGGGTGCATTGTCAATAAAAGCGTTAATTCTGTTGTGCAGTAATATATGTAGCACATTAATATATGATAATATTACCTTGGTTTTGCATAGGCAGATTGTCAGACACTTGTGCTATCAGTAGTGGTGCAATTTGGGATATCCAAAATTTCTCCAATTTAAGTCAAATAACAAAGTCACATGACAAAAGGCACAGCACAAACATCAACCTCGCAAGCAAGGGCCTCCACACCCGCCGCGGGAAGGAGACCCTTGTAAAGGCTGGTCACGTGACCTCCCAGAATCTGGGAGGTCACGTGACCAGCCTTTACAAGGGTCTCCGTCCCGCCGCGGTTGAGGCCCTTGCTTGCGAGGTTGCACAAACATTTGCATCTGCACTTGATGATAGTACTTGGAGGTCGTTTTCAACTGAAAATGTCCTGCAACTTGCATACCCCCAATTTCTGAACGAAGAAATGCTTCTTTGGCATCGCTGATTCGGTGTGTCCATGGGCATTTATATTCCACAACAACTTCCTTGCAATCAGACACACATTCACAACTTCTGACATCGTCTGCACTTGCACCTAAAAATGGCTTATCTCTGCAAATAATGAATCCATGGTTCTTAAGTTTCAGTTTGTAGTGAACATGATTCTGAACATGCATATATGCATTTCTTGCACTTTCTTCATGTTTTAATCCCCAGTCTCTAGGGTTTTGGGGATTTTCTGGCATGGTTTTGGAGTTGAAAATTGGAAGTGGATCAGAAACAATGCTCTTAGCAACAGCTGTTACTAAAGTGACATTGCTCTTCTCAAGTGTTGTCTGGCGTGTCACAATACTTTTACACTTGGATGCACTAATAAACCCTTTCTTGGCGACGAACCATGATTTACACTTCCATTGGTCCACTGTTTCTTTGTCAATTTTTCCAATTTCTTCACTCGTGAAACTTAAAAAGCTTAGAAAATTATCTGGGGGTAAGCATTGTGGTTTGTTTCACAAATTGCTCCAATTTCTCTTTCATTATGGCACAATTTCTTTCCAAAACCTCAGGTTCTTTTTTGAAGCCTTTGGATCCTGCGGTAAGTAGGTAGTGCTTTTTCAATAGAGACAATATAACAGGTGGAGGAGAAACATTGACATTCAAGTTGTTTGTGAAGGTCTTCATTGCTTTAAATGAATGAACTTTTCGGTGTTTCGTGGGTCGTGGATCATAATCAATATTCTGGAGCAAGTTGTATTCTCGTTTTCTTTTTTTGCCCGATGGTAGACTACCTTTAATATAAAGTAAAATTGTTAATACTAAAAATGCTATAATATTGTCTACACGAATCTCTGCCACAAAATAATACCATATGCATATTGCCATATACATGAATAGACCAATGATTGTAGCCCTTTTCTATTTGCCTAAAAACTGTTTGGTGTTAGACATTTGACAAATGTTTTTTTCATGGGATTGCCTCTATTTGTGATCACAGATTATTTGACAGTCCCTCTCCCTAACCCCCCACCCCAAATCCGCAAAAACTAGGGGGTAAGGGGGCATCACGACTTAGAATACAAATTCAACCAAGTAGAAATCACAACTTTATTACCATCGAAATGTACGTACCTTTTAAAATCTCCTGATCTTCCACTCTGCATGGTCCTGTGTTACGCTGTGGTTTCCTTACCCACTTACAAGGATCGTTTGTCACACTTTTGTCTCCTGTACTGTTTAGTAAAGCATTTAACGAATACAATGCGGCTGAAATATGTTTGCACCCGCCGTCTCTGCCACCTTTACATTTGCAAAAGTCGGGAATCTTCGTAAGATTTATATGCCGCAAGTCCTTGCTTATCGTATTCAGTAGCATGGTATATCAAATGATTGAAGATGTGGTATAAACCGAAAGGCGGCGAGTCAATGAAGTTGTTTTGGGTTTTTATTACAAAGGGATCCGCGATTTGCATATCATGAATAAATAAACGTTGACGTACATTTTTTTCCTTATTATTCGTTTCATAGCTTGGGTCAAGAGGCAACATTATTTTTTCAACCGCAGCAGCAATAGTAACTAAAGCTAGTTTCAAATAGTCATTCACAGTAACTCCTCGTTCTTTGAGATATTTCTTTATTGACGCCACATTCATATTTCTAAACCTAAACTTGTTAATATTTTCCTCAGACATGCTCAGATTTGGTTTCATACAAAAGAACAACAATAAACGTACTAAACGCTTTGGAAAATCACGAAACAATGACTTCTTATACAGTGTTTTATAAATTACAATTTACGCTCTTGTCCGCAATGTTTACATTTCGTACCACGTGACAGCCGTAAAAACTGCACGTGTTTCTAGAGCTAATGTCGCAAATTGAAAAGGCATTCAAATTTTAACAATATGCTTGATTTCTAAAGGTCTCCTTTTTTATATACCCTATACAGTATATGTCAAAACACACAACATAGTCTTAATCTGCACATATTGTGATGTAGAACAATTGCAATTTGCATGTTAATTATGATGCTATCTGAAATATAATATGCTCATTGCATATCCTGTGTCGATGCTACTGAGTCAATTTGTTTGTCCATAAAAACAACATTTCAGCAATATGTATGAGAATACTATCTTAGCAAAAGACCAAACTTATGCCAAAACCCTGTACATATTCACATATGTCATACAGTTAAAGAAGTAAATCATAGGAAACGATCAAAGATTAAAAATTGAATGATCAAAAATACATAAATCATGAAGATAGCATGTTATTATCATCAAATTAGCTATAACATATTGTAGTAATTTGACAGCTCTAATTGCTTTGGTCGGGTAAAAAAACAAGGTCTTGTACTCATGGGACAAAACTCAAAGAAATAAAAATTAGAAAATTTAAAAGTTTTTAAGAGTTTTGTCCCATGAGAGCAACTATTGAAGATATGAAACATTATGTTGAACCTACGTTAAAGAGAAGTCCTAAAGCAATCATTGTCCACGCTGGAACGAATAACATCCCAAGGGATCGACCCGAAGAAATAGTAAGTAAACTAAATGATCTTGGTCAACATATAGAGCAAAATTCAAAGTGTCGAGTTATTATATCAAGTCTGATCACTCGAAGTGACGATAACCTTAATGCGAAAATTAGTACTACAAATAACTTGTTGGCTAACTTATGTTTAAAAAATAACTGGTTGTTTATTAAACATATCAACATTAGTAAAAATCACCTGAATGCTTCTGGGCTTCATTTAAATGCTAGAGGTACGTCCACCCTAGCTAGAAATTTAATTGACTGTATAAAACATTGACAATTAAAAGTAAATTTAGACATAGAAGCAAATCTAGACGTTTCAAATCATGAATCTATTTCATCATCTATTTATGAACAGCACTCGTATCCGAAACTAAAGGGCTTTAAAATAGGCCATCTTAACATAGCTAGCTTGCCAAAACACTTAGACGAACTAACTATAGTTATCAATGAACTATCTTTTGATGTAATTACAATTAACGAAACAAGGCTAGATGAAAGTTTCAATGACCGAGATGTCAGGATTAGTGGATATGACATAATACGCCGTGATAGAAATAGGCACGGCGGAGGAGTTGCCATTTACATCAGAAATAATATTCCTTATATCCAGCGACACGATTTACTCGTCCAAGACTTAGAGTCAATTTGTGTTGAGATTAAAAAACCTAAAAGTAAACCTTTTCTGATATCTACATGGTATCGACCACCAAACTCCCCTATTGAACTCTTTGAAAAATTTGAAAATAATCTGCATTTAATGGAGAATGAAAACAAAGACTTAGTTATCACCGGCGACTTTAACTGTGATTTACTTTCAACAAACAAAGACGCACCTACTAAAAAACTCACAGACCTTTTAGACATATATCAATTACAGCAACATATACAGATACCAACAAGAACTACCTTAAGAGCGACTGTCCGTAAAAATCGAGCAAAATTTGAATTCTGCGGCAATACACGAAAAATAGATTTCGTTCATATTTTGCTCAAATTAAGGTAATACCTAGTTATAAATGGTGTTTGGGTTAGATTTTCAATATTTGGTCGATA